TTGTTTTCGCTGTACTACAATTGTTTAAAACATAAATTTTTGCGCAAAAATATTTTGGTCGATATAATATGATAGATGTTCAGATTTGACTTCCACAACCGCTATCTCCTACTGGCTAAGAACGCATCTGATCAGGGGCGGCGCTAGCCCTATATTAAAACGGAAGGTGCAGCCTAGACCTAGGCCTTCTAATTTTATTTATATTTTTTTAATATTCAGCGCTTTTTCACATGAAAAGACTGGGACTAGGTGATTTGGTGGCGGGGCGGAGGAAGGACACAAGCCCGATGCAAGCGAAAAAATAGAAGGCCTAGTGGATTTCCCAACAACAAGGCCAAAATTGCCCTGAAACTGCCCTGGTTGCGAAATGCCCAATCATTGCGTTCTCAAACAGAATTATTTAAACCGATACAGGTAGAATAAACTCATTTTTAGTATAAACTTACTATTTTTATTTGTATACACGTCTAGAAAATCGGGATTTTTATCATAAAGTTTGAAGCAACACTATTATTATGTTGACAAGGTGAAGCGAAAGCACAAAATAATAATTCTTTTATTGATCTTTATTCGCAAGACAATCTACTGTTTTGCTTTGAATAACTATATTTTCGAATTGGGAATAGGATTTTGAAATTATTGTTCAAATATTACGGATATACCATTTGTAAACAATGTACGTTTTTATATACAGTACTAGTAGTACGGGCTAATAATATATGTATCCGTTTTATTTAATAAATTATAATTGTATATGTGTTTGTATATTTTACAAACACAAGACTGCTTCTTGCCAAAATTGAGAAAATATATATTAATGTAGTTGTGTATAAGACAAAATTTCCTGAAAGATTCTACTTTTGGTATATATTTTGACTCATTTTGTGCTTTCGCTATACCTTGTCAACATATTAAATAATAGCGTTGCTTCGAACTTTATGATAAAAACCCCGATTTTCTAGACGTGTATACAAATAAAAATAGTAAGTTTATACTATAAATGAGTTTATTTTACCTGTATCGGTTTAAATTCGACGTTAAGTTGTAAATAATTCTGTTCGAGAACGCAATAATTGGGCATTTCGCAACCAGGGCAGTTTCAGGGCAGTTTTGGCCTTGTTGTTGGGAAATCCACTAGGCCTTCTAGGCCTGCTTCCTCCGCCCCGCCCCCAAATCACCTAGTCCCAGTCTTTTCCTGTGAAAAAGCGCTGAATATTAAAAATATATAAATGAGACTAGAAGGCCTAGCACTAGGCTGGCCAAAGACGTGTTCATCATACCAACTTGATCAAACGCTTTTGACATTTCTAATTTATACTCTTAGGCCGTGGGATGAGCATCCAAAGGATGCAATTCCGTTGCACCCCTCGTGGAACTACGTAATTTTCACATGAATAAATAGATAAAAACTTACTTTATCAGAATCCGTTGCTCCCCAAATGAAACAGGTGTACAATTGGGAGAAAAATCCCTCCAGAGTTTGATATTTTCGCGCTTGGAAATATTCGAACCGCCATTATTTTGGTAGCAAATACGCATGCGCAACTCAGTCAAACTCGCACTGCGCACGCGCAGACTATAAGAATAGATTCTCACTGGGGGGTTTCCCCGATTTCCTCCGCAAAAACAACAAAGTAAAATCACAGAATACTGATCAAACCTTGTAATTTAAATACACGCGCATTAAATATTGTTAAAAACACATTGTATATTTTGCTTGCTCATATGCTAAATCACTTCAATTCACGGCTATTGTTTCAAAATACCGTTTTAACGTTTAATTCTACTTTATATTAACATCCTAATTCAATACAAGTTTGTGTGAGGTAAGAAACCCACCTGTATCAAACAGGACGGAGAATTAAAAATATATATGCATACAATTCACACGATCAAGGAACAAATGAAATATTTCGCTAAACTTAAATTTAGCCTTGGCCAAACGTAAGAAACAATGTCGCGGAAATATTCGTGATTTTTAATTGGCTTTTATTGCCGACGCAAAATTTGCTTCCCAGAAAGCAAATTATTTCCAGATTTCAGAAGCATTTTATGAAACACTCTTTATCCGTTTGCCGACGCTGATAAGACAATATGACATACCGAAAGATTGGAAAGACAAATAATATGACAACATGAGTGTTTCCCAGTTCGTCCCGGGCCTTAAGGGATATTATAAACTCGAAATTCATAAAAAAAAAAAAAATTGGGAGGAAATATAAAATCCATAATTTCATTATAGCTATATATAATTGAAAGAAATGTTTTCATCTTTGAACCCAGATTTTCATAAGAGCAATAAAATCCCACTTATTGGATCCTGGCCAAGGGCTTGCACGCTCAAAACGAGATTGCATGTATTCTGCAATAAGTATTGTGTTATAGTCCGTTGAGAAATCTTTTGTATTAATTTTTTCTAGTCTGTCGTTATTTCGACCCGTCTATGGCATTCTTACCGCTGTATTGTGTTTTCTAAACTTGTAAAATGAAAAGTGTTATTAAAACTTTATTTCGAACGATATAGTTTTACATTTAATTTTTACCTAATTTCTCAGCCATTTCCTTAAAAAATTATTGCTAAACAAAAACTAATTCTAAGTCTGGTGTAAAAGTCATTCCGTTATTGCCTTTATATTCTAAGGCTAAGCAGAAATCGAGAAAAGCAACTTTGTAATAAAGCAATAAAGTCACACAAGAAGCCATTTTGAAAGCGTGTGCGTACAAGAAACACTGCAACACTGTTAGTGACAGTAACCTTGAACAGACCGAAAACAGTTTTATTTCTGAATTTTAATTGACTGATATTTGGATATTTTGTTTTATTCATTAAAAAATTATACTAAAACAATTATTCGCCTCTGGCTCAGTTATTATGGTGAATAGTCACCTGGACTTCGTCTCGGTGAATATTCACCGGTATCACTTCGCCTTTGGCGAATAATTGTTAATTAAAAATCTGACTATGAAGTCAATACACGAAGAATTGACCTACCAGCTTGACCTGTTAGAATTTGTCTGACTAATATTCTTACCGATTCCTTAGGATCATGTTTTGCATTGTCAGTGATGTCGTCAAATAATACCAGTACTATGTATAATCAAACAAATCAAACAGAGACACCGGTGTACAGTGATTGGGCAAAATTTCTGGAACAGCGTTTTTTTGCAGAAAAAATTATAGTAACTTTTTTCGCCACTTTTACAATGGTTGGTAATACTTTGGTTTTGGTGGCGACCTGGAGAGAAAGAAGCCTTCATCAACCAAACAAGTATTTTATTGTTTGCCTGGCTGTCGCTGATCTTTTGGTTGGGTTATTTGTAGCACCACTGTGGGTGTATCAAAATAGTCTCAATTTCAAATCGTCTATTCATCTGTGTCGTTTTGCTGTGTGGGCAGATACCTTGGCGCTAACAGCATCCATTTATTCACTGACATTCATCAGCTTCGATCGATATTTAAAAATTAGTAAACCACTGCAGTATAAATCACGAATGACAACCTCCACATCATTAAAAGTAATTTTCATCATTTGGTTGATTTCAACTGGTATTTCCACCTACGCCGCCACTCCTCAATCAGGAAGCAATGGAATCTTAAACACTGGCTACGGTTTTTGCCCTGTCAATCGTAATAAATTCAAAGGATTCTACACATTTGTCGCAGTAACTGCATTCTTTTTACCCACGGTAGTCATACTGGTTATGTACGCTCTCATATTTCTTGTTGTTCGTAAACGACAAAAGATGCTGCGAAATGGCGAACTGGGTCAGAGTTGCAGTGTTCTGAACCAGCGAAGTGCATTTCTTAAAGATCTGAAGGCTATCCGAATGTTGTTGGTTGTCGTTGGAGTGTTTATACTTTGTTGGTCTCCTTTCTTCATTTTTAATGTGTTACACCTGTACTTTCCAAATATTGTTGATTGGCGTAGCAGGTCATTAAACTACCTGCGTTCGATCTCAATAACTTTAGCTGTAATATCTTTACTACCGCTGCTTAACAGTCTATGTAATCCAGTAATTTATGCTTGTCTGGACAAAACATACAGAGATGCTTTCAAGAATCTGTTTCAGCGATTGATGTGCCGAACAAGCTCAAGAATGCGGGCACCACCACTCGGAATAGAGTTACGTCCTCCGAGAATAAGATAGAGTAAGAGAACGACAATATCAAACCGTTCGAAGTGAGCGGACGTATGTTTAAGTGCTCCGTATAAATATTTTAAAGTGTGTAAACTTGGCGAGATATATCCTTTATTACTACAAAGACAAACATGAATATAGTGAACGAATTAACGTACGATGGCGAAATTTACCGATGGACTGGCTCTTTGAGCAAGTTAAAGACCTTTGTCCAGAAAACGCTAAACGCTAAAGGGACATGGACTTCACCAGGCGGCGACGTCAAACATTTTAAGGATGATGATTCTGATCTAATCATTAAATGGTATGGTCCTCGCTCCAAGAAACTTATAACCCTTACAGACAACTGCGATCACCCTTTAAAATTGAAGTTGGAATGTCGGGCAACGCTGGGTTT